CATCATCATCATCATCACCATCATTGTCATCATCATCATCACCATCATCATCACCATCAGCAGCAGCATCATCATCATTATTATTATTATCATTATTATTATCATTATCACAGTACAGGATGAAACGACACGGCACGGCACACGACAGCGTAAAATATGCTACTTAGATGACAGATGATAAGTCGGACAATACAGTACATTGTAATTGTTATGTCGGTACCCTCATGATCTCAGGCACTTAACACTCACCTATATCTCTCCACAGATTATATGAAGTGTTCTCAAAACTACACTTTGCTTTTCGTGGCTTTTGATCTCGAGGAAGTTCAACAGTCTTGTCAAACTGCACCGTGTTCCTGTTCAGCAGGATTGTGTGGAAGTAGATACTTTGTTCAAAATCTTACCAGGTAATGCAACATCATATTTCGTCTTAGACGTTCTGCCGTTTGTATACAAGAATAATTTCTTATGCTGAATGAGTTTTAATGTGTCTATTACTTTTTCTTTGTATCTTGTTCTTTAAAATTATGATAAATTGTTTGTCTTTCTAATGTTACAGCATTTCATCTTTTATATCTTTGATTGACAGATACGTTGAGGAGAACAAGTGCACTGTACAAGGTGCATACGTAATGGACGTAACAATGAACTATAACACATCGAACGGTTCACAGTCCCTTCCTCCTGGTACCAACATATACTTCCCAGCTCAATACAAATGGATAGAACAAAATCAATTTCGAGGAGATTGGTTGGCTGTCATAGGAAGAAAAGACGATGATTCTGTGCTGAGCAACAAGTTTGTGTCAAACTTTAAACAAGGTAATTATATTGCAGTAAATGTTTATGCTTGATAGATAAATTAAGATCATTAATATTATGATGATAGTGGTGGCGATGGCGATGGCGATGGCGATGGCGATGGCGATGGCGATGGCGATGGCGATGGCGATGGCGATGGTGTTAATAATGATTATGATGATGCTGACACAAAAGGCCTAGGCCTAGGCCTAACTGAGCTACTTGTGGTCTATTTCCCAATCAAACTAAGTTGACCATGAATATCCTATATCTTTTAGGAGCTTTCAAAGCCTTGCCGATTCCATTGCCGTTTAGTGGAAGACCAAAGGACGTAGATCCTACGCAACGAGGAGCACTATCGGACTTTCTTCGGAGCGACCACGCAAGATTCTGGGACAGCAATAACTCTTGGCCAGCGGTATTCCTGACAGACACGGCAGACTTTCGTGGTTACATGAAGACTTGTTACCATCARCAATGTGACAACATGGATCGAGTTAAGCCAGAGATGATTACATTCATGGGAAGAACCGCTGATGCATTAGTAGCGGCGGCTCAATCGCTGACAGAACAAGTTTGTCCTTCCAGAGAAAGTGAGTACCTGACTTAGGGAGAGTACGAGTGTATTTTGCAGAGTTTTATTCATGTTGTGAAAATGACTTTTTTATCATAGTTGAAAATTCATTGGACCAGTTCCCAGTCTTTTCCGGAATTTTACCCCACAGGAAGCCCATCGTGATATTTAAAACACTATTCGTGGTTTTTCTTTGGATACTCTAGACTGCAAGAACGTAACCATCAAAAGCGACAATTCAACAATTTCCTCCCCGTCCTACCCTTCTGAGTACCCAAATGGCATCGAATGTAGCTGGCTCAAAGAAATCAGTAGTTCAAGTGACAACCAATCGTTGCAGTTTGAGGATTTCAATCTTGAAGGAAGCCCAAGTTGCTCTAACGACTTCTTGGAGGTGTCAGCAGGAAATACCATTGACAACATGCGTGTTATTGGTAAGGCGTATAAACATTAGTGTTGTCAGGAACGGTTTTTGAATGTCTGTAGAATCATGTTCCTTGTGCGGACTGCCTGATGCTGAGCCTTGACCGTGACTGTAACGCTGTCCAAACACTTGAGTAGTTTTCGTATGACTGTGAAAAAGTCTGTGCCGTATTCGTGCCTTACCGCGACCGTGATGTTTTCTAGACTGATTTTGATTGGTTGACTTTTTTCTCGCGCGATGTGATTGGTCTGGCTATACCGTGACATTGGCGGGACCTTGTCCGCGCCGTCTTCATTCCGTGTTTCGGGCATTTGATTGGATRGCGAGTAAATTCTCGTGCAGTGTGATTGGACTGGAGTATCCCTTGCCATGTCACGACAGTGTTCGTGCCGTTAGCTTTACGAAGGTCATACGACAACTGCTCTATATGACCACGGTGATCTCGCGATGTGGTTGGCTCAATTGGTTTGTTAACAACATGCGTTGACCGCATTTATCACATCCTGTCTTGTTTCAATTCTAAAGATAAATATTGTGGCTCGACCCAACCCAGTACCATCCGCGTGCCTCATAAGATAGTCAAGGTTCGCTTTGTTACTGATGCCCTGGTTTCAAAGAAAGGATTCAGGATCACCTGGACAACGCCACCCAAAAAGACAACGCCAACAAAGCAAACAACGCCAAAAAAGCAAACAACGCCAACAAACAAACCAAATTCGAGTGGCACGGCAGGAAAAGGTAACAGTAGTCACGTGATCACAAGTAAATAGTCACGTGGTGCCTATTTTTATTATAATAATCTTTCATATCAAACTTATTCCATACATTTCACAG